TGTGGGGGGGAGGGGGGGGGGTGTGGGTTACAGTCCGTGTCCACGTAAAGCCGCGAGATGCTGGTGACGGCTGAGAGGAGACCCGGCACGTCATCCGACTACAGACATGGCCGCGGGCGATGACCCTTCCCTACCTGCATTGCTTCTCTGAAGGGGATGCACTTGATGAGCTCCCAGGCACCATGGGCCCATGAGGCAGTCTCACCGGACCTCAAGGCCGAGACGTCTACCTGGGGCAAGCGCTCGGGGTGTCGGCTCTGCTCCTGGGGCACCCCCAGCCGGGGTGTCTTCCCTACCGTGGGGCCCTGGAGGGTGTCTTGGGGACACCCTGCTCGGGGCCCGGGGTGGGCTTGGCCCCGGCACCGTCTGCCACACGCCCCCTCCAGACGGCCAATGTGAGGTGGGCCGTAGCTGCAGGCACACAGGGTACCGGGAAAGACTGGAAACCTGTTTCCCAGGAGTCAGCTGGTTACGTGATGGCGGCTCCATCAGAGACAGCGGTAATGTTAGCACAACAGGCATCGGGGACGCGGCAAACACGTCTCTGGTCAGTTCATCCCTTTTTATTAGGAGCTGCACGTGCGTGTTGGGGCGTTTCCACGCGTGTGGGTTCAGTCAGGCGCACATCCCAGGGGAAGCTGGGGGGGGCACCATGCTCACGGCAAACACTCGAGGGCGGGGCGTGACCGCCCTTCCTCTCTGCTTATGCTCCTGTGTGTTTTCTGAATCTTTTCCAATGAACAGGCTTCACATTTGGTAAAAAAAAATGTTTCCTTTAATCGGGCATTTTAAGCAAAAAAAGACCCAAGTGTAGAAACACGCCCATCCCGGCTGACGTCACGTGGCCCTCGCGGGGAAGGGAAGGGAAGCTCATTCCTGCGGCTCTGACCGCGGCGGTGCCGCCCTCGCTGTGTCCTGCGGGCTCTGTCCCTGGACGCGGGGGTGGCAGGACCGCGCTGCGGCTCTTTCCCGTGAAAATGGGCTGTTGGGGGAAAGGTTGAAGCTGCGCTTGTTCCACTGCAGAGAGGACCCCTGGCGGCTGCTGCCGTATTTTATGCCAAACGCACCTGGGGCAAAGCTGCTGCCCCACCCCTCCCGTCCCCGAGGCGGCCCCTGGCCTGTGGGGAGGGAGGCGGAGGGGGGAGTTAATTTCTCATAATCCCGCCTCAGTGGCAGCTTTGCGTCCGTCTGTCTGTCCCTCCTGCTGCGGTTTCTGTGCGGTTAACGATGAGGCCTTTATAGCCAGTGAGTTGTTGGAATCTTTCCTGTAAACGCGCCCTGAAGGCTGCGGCGTCCGGGAACTGATGCTGTTTTATTTTGTAACTTAAAGATGGGGACCAACAAGTGCGCCAGCCAGGCGGGGATGACCGCCTACGGGACCAGGAGGCACCTGTACGACCCCAAAATGCAAACGGACAAGCCCTTTGACCAGACCACCATCAGCCTGCAGATGGGGACCAACAAAGGGGCCAGCCAGGTAAGGGGGCCGCGCGCCTGCCATCGGGCCCAGTGCAGAGCAGCCGCTGCGGGTGTGGGACACGGACAGGAGGTTCCTTCCAGGAGGAGGTTTTGCTGGGAAAGCACAAGAGTGACAGGACCCCTCTGCAGCCACACTGTGTGCGGCTCCTGCTTGGTTGGCGGTTGGAACAGCCGGCCTTCCTACCTTCCCAGCGGGAAGCTGAAAGGCTACCAACTCCAAGCGCACTGCTCCTTCCAGAGCTCTGCCACTCGTGTGTGTGTGTGTGTGTGTGTTGTTGTTTTCATTGATTTCAGAGAGAGGAAGGGAGAGGGAGAGGGAGAGAGGGAGAGAGAGAGAGAGAGAGAGAGAGAGAGAGCGAGAGAGAGAGAGAGGTAGAAGCATCAGTGATGAGAGAGAATCCTACTGGGGATGGAGCCCGCACCCCAGGCCTCTGCCGTGAGCGGGAATCAAGCCGTGACCTCCTGGCTCAGAGGTTGACGCTCAGCCATGAGCCCCGCCAGCCCGGCCGCTGTTGTCCCTCCTGCCCCCGCCCATCACCTGTAACTGTTCCCGAGAGAGAGCAGCCCTGAGCCGCGGTAACGTCTGTCCTTGCCCGTCCCAGGCGGGGATGCTGGCGCCAGGCACCCGGAGAGACATCTATGACCAGAAGCTCACGCTGCAGCCCGTGGACAGCTCGACCATCTCCCTGCAGATGGGCACCAACAAGGTCGCCTCGCAGAAGGGCATGAGCGTGTACGGGCTCGGGCGGCAGGTCTACGACCCCAAGTACTGCGCCGCCCCCACCGAGCCCGTCATCCGCAACGGCAGCCAGGGCACGGGCACCAACGGCTCGGAGGTCAGCGACAGCGACTCCCAGGCCGAGTACCCCGACGAGTACCA